TTCCGGGTTCAGACCCTGGTGAAGGCTTGGATTTTTTCACGTGGATTTCTGGTAATTTCCCTTTTTTTCTCTGGGTATTAAGACCTGACGCCCGTGTGTATTGTTGCACCCGTTTTAAAAAAAAATACCTTGGCAGTTGGCAATCGAAAAAGAGTAGCCTAACTTGCCCGGGCAAAATTAGAAGAACAAATCTACCCAAAGTATTTCAGGATCCTCGCCGGTGCAACAGAGTTCGTGCACTGCGATGAGATTCTTCGGACTCAGGCTTGAGTTAGAAGTAGATCTGAGCATGTATGGTTTTCACCCGTGTGCCATGATCTTGATATGTTGAACACACATAAAAAAAACTTGTCCACGCCTTAAAGCGTACTGAGAATGTAGGGCTGTTTTTTTTTTTTTTTTTTTTTTATAGACTACTCATCACTTGGTGGGTGATGTAGTCAGCATCACGCCGGCCTCCTTTACTTCCCATGTCTTCACCTTTTACCCACTCAAGGTTGGGTCGACCTGGGAGTAAAGGTCATTTTTGAAAAAAAGTCCGGCTATGTCAGGCAGCGAACCCACGATCTTCCGATCCGAAAGCGGGCGTCTAAGCCGCCAACGCCACGGTGTCTCCCATAATGAACATATAGTTTCCATTTATACGCCTTTAGGAGTACTGTGCATATAGGGCTAGACCTATATTTTATAGACCAGTCGGCACAGGGTGGATAATGTGGTCAGCATCACGCTGGCCACCTTTACTTTCCAACACTGCACATTGAATCCACTTAAAGCTAGGTCGACCTGGGAGGCAAGATCATTTGTGAAAAATGTCCGGCTACATCAGGATCGGAACCCCCGACACATATAATGTAAGTCATCATCATCATCATCATCATCCTCCCGTAACACAGAGTGTCGTTGGGTCACCAGTTTCTGTTGACTGTCTGATCCGATCTCTCCATCTTTGGCGGTCATTTGCGATGGACTTCATGGTAAATGCCTGAGGCCTGTCCAGTCAGTCAGGTTCTGTAACCAGGCCTTTCATGGTCTGCCTTTTCTCCTCCTTCCCTCTACTGAGTCCTGCAGTATTTATTTATTTTTTTAAGAGGTTATTAGATCCTATTGCACAATTGCATTTTTTTGCTTTTTCACTGTAGTTAAAAGAGGCTCATAGTTGCCAATGTGCTGTACAGTTTTATGGCGAACCTCTTCGTTTGTAATGTGGTCTTTATGATTTGCAACGAATTTTTCTGAAACATTGCATTTCTAATGCTTTTTCCTAATGCTTTCACGTTCAGCTGTTAAGGTCCACGTTTCACAGCCATATGTAGATGTACTAATAGCTAGTGCTCTGAGCAATCGAATCTTAGTTTTGCATGGACAGTTTTTAGATAGATATCCATACTGTTTGCTGCTTGGCAAGGACTGATATTGTCTCCTAGACAAGATTTCTGGTCCTGACCCCAAGTCACTTAAAATGTATCCTAAATTTGTGAAATGAGTCACTTGTTCTAATTTGTTCTAATGTAAGTAAAATATATTATTTATGTCAAATGTCGGATTATTAATGCAACATACTGGAGACATCACAAGGAGAAGCGGGCAGAGATTCATTGAAGAGGCACTGGAATATAAAACATATAGACTGAGGAAAAGAGGAAGGAAGGCAAAGAGAAACCATAAGAAAACGTTGAGGAGAGATTCCGAACGTGTAAGTTTGTATTCCATCTATCATATCGAAAGGATTACACAGGACAGAATGAAACTAAGGACTAGACTGTACGCCATATGTTCGTATAGAACAATGATGATGATATTGAAGTAAAATTCAACAAATACATTCTGGATTGTTCGGTACTGTGTGAATTAACACAGACTCAGGCGACGGTGGCGAATAATCCGGCTTACAGAACAAACCTTGAAATTGTCAGATAAAACAACATTGGACAGTGTCTCACTTTCAAGTTGAGAATATGCTAATACACGTCGTTTGTTTGCTTGGCGTGGAATGTGTGTCACTTCCGTTTGCTACTGGTTCATTTAAGAGACAGAAAAATCCAAAAATTCCCTTAGCCAGTTTTCACTGAGAATATTACATCTGATGTGATGTTTACTTTCCATTGACGTGTGGAAACTGTCGAGGTAATATTGCTGGGGAAGTAAAACTGCATACAAACTGATATTGGTAAGGATATGACTGGTATCTTTTCTGTCACAAGCCAGATATTGGTCCTGAAAATTGTTCCTATCGAAGCAGAAGTCCGTGCAAGAAACTGCCTTGTTTACACTGTCCCCTGTGCATCCGCTGGGAGGACATTATTCTTGGGCCGACGTTTTTGGTTTTACCAAGACTAATGGAGGCGTGGTACCGCAGTGGCTAGCATACTTGCTCACTGGGTCGAGAGGCTGTATTGAAACCCCTATAGAGAAGGTGATTTGTTCTTGCTCGCAAGGGCTCCTATGTCCTAAGTTATTAAGTAAGTTGAAGGTTAACGTCGAAAGGATCGACTTCATTGCACCTAGTTTTATTCCCTTATGGCTCGGTCTCTCTCCACAGAACGGCTAGCTGCCTGCCGAGAGCGACTTCGTAGCTCCGGCGACGATATCTCAGTAAAAATTGCACTCGTGAACTTTAACTAATTATGTAAAGTACCCTTAACACGTCAAGGTGCATCGGGTATATAATGATAGATGTGGTGAACCTTAAGCCAGTGACCTTTACTTCCCAGAAAATTACTTGGTATCCATTTAAGGCAGTGAGATCTGGGAGCTCATGTGGATTCGGAAAAAGAAAAATCCGCTTGCATAAGGATTTGAGCTGGATTCTTTGTTCGTAATGTTAAACTCATTGTCAAAGCCGGTGAACGAATTGGTGAAGCCTAATGTAAGACTGAGGATGATGACAGATAAATATGATGTTGAATTAGATAAACATTGACCCTTATACATTTTGACCATTAAATCATCTTTCTCAAGAGCATTTTTCTGAGTTTGAAACAAACTTTACGCTTACCCTTGTTTCCAAGCTGCATGCTTAAAAAAACCAACTTCCAAAAGCCAAACAATATGGCAGGTTACTTGTCTGCTGACCAAGCGACGTTAGTATTTTACAAGATCATTTATGAATGGTGCCTGTTTGGATGACATGCTTTGCTTCGTGGTTAATTTTTTTTTTTTTTTTCGGTCATTTGTATAATCGGACTCATTATTAAGTTCCGCGGTTTACAGCCTGTTTGCAATATGTGCGCTTTTTGATCTAACAGTACAGTTTCAACAAATCCCTACTAAATCGTCTTTTGCAATGTGGGACAGTGGGTCTATTCTCCCTCCCCCCCCCCCCCCCAACAAAAAATAGGGTCTCTGGCCCCAGTGATGCAAACTATAACGAGAAAAATATAAAGTAAAACATAAATTGTAATCTGATATGGCGCAAGAGGACATGCTAAATATAAATCATGTTATCTTAGCGGCGTTCCTTGCTGTCATTGGACAACATATTTAAAAAAAAAAATAAGAATAAATTATTGTTCAGTATATTTGTTCTGATCAAACACCAGAGCTAACATTTTCTGTTAAACTATTCTCATTATTCTTAGTCTTTAATCTTTGGATTTTAGACTGTTTGTTGTGATCTCTCATAAAGTTTGTTCTTTCTATCTCGTTACCCATCAAATATGTTTATTGTTTTTAGTCTGTCTGAAAAAAAAAAACAGTTTAATTTATGTTGATTCAAAAAAGTTTTGTAATATATCTTGCATCTAATTCGCTGACCAAACTTAATTTTTTTTTTCCTTTTTTTTTTTTTTTTTACTAACTGGGAATGTATTCTAATTCTAAGACCTTAGCGATCTCTAAGAAAAGACTATGTCCAGTGTCGCGTGCCCCCCCCCCCCTTTTTTTCCCCTTTTCCCCCCATCCCCCAATCGCCACTTATGTGTTTGTCATATAAAGTCTAACTTGCGATTCTCCGACAATCCTAGCAGTAAAAGTATCAAACATTGCATTTCTCTCTCTCTCTCTCTCTCTCTCTCTCTCTCTCTCTCTCTCTCTCTCTCTCTCTCTCTCTCTCTCTCTCTCCCTCCCTCTCTCTTTCTCTCTCTCTCTCTTTTTTTTTCACATCTCTGCCGTTTCCACCGTGCTATAAAACATAATCCAACTTGCAAATCTGCCATCTGCGATAATGCGACCAAAGTATTATCCGACGTCTGAATCCCTCTGTGCTGTAAAACATAATTTAACTTGAAAATCTACGACGGTGCTTCACGTCAGGTTATTAACTGTCCTTTAAATCTCCCAGCGGAAAGGAGTCCCAGACGCAGACAGTTACTCCTGCCTCGTAAGTCTGTCTAAAAGTAACATAATTCCTATTCATCACAGCCTTGCTGCTGTTAGTAAAGTAACACTTTTCATTATATATTTAAGACAGTTTTTGCTGTAGGAGCTGTTACTGCTTTTAATGAGCAGGAGTGTAGAGTTTTTGTAGATTAGTTGTTGTTGTTTCAAAGTTTATAGTGTTAGTCCAGGAGCCGCCATGATAAAGCGGCTAAACGTTCGCCTGTGGATCCAAAGATCGTGGTTTCAGGTCCTGATGGGGTACCATAATCTCATAACTGACGAATAGCTTTAACTGTGTTAAATACGTTGTAGCGCAGATAACGACCAAGAGCCGCCGTGGTGTAGCGGCTAGACGCTTGCCTGTGGATCAAAAGGTCGTAGGTTTGTGTCATGACAGAGCCGCCCTTGTATTTATTTATTCAAGTTTTCAAAATGACCTTAGCGCCCAGTTCGACCCAGATGAGTACCAAATAAAGTCCTGGGAATTCAAGGCAGCCGGCGTGATGCTGACATCATCATCTACTGAGTACCGATTGGTCTATAAAATATACGTTTAGCCCAATACGCCTAAAGGCGTGGACAATAGTATTCTTTTCTTCCAATATTGTTAACCTTGTGTTACGTTTTCCCACTGGTTCATGTTAACTTCATTGTTTTCAATTTTTTTTTTTTTTTTCTAGCTCAGAAGATATCGAAGAGCCATCGATATTACCATTACTAAAGGCAGGATTTTCCAGGGTAAGTCTCATCGCAGTTTTATGTTGCGTGTTTCAAATGTAACTATCCTTCTGGGATTTGGGTTGACAATCAAATAATTAAAACGCATCAAAAACATAGAAGTCATGGATGAAGAGCATTTTCTGGATCTTTTCTCCAGGGCATGCCGATGTGTTGGGAAATGAACAGACCTGTTGACTCGGCACACCTTTGTGGAATATTGATGCATGAAAAGGCAGACGTGGTAAGGGTCTTATGCTAGCACATGTAATAATTGGAACAGAAAACGAATCATCGCAGTCTGGTGAGAGTGATGCAGCGGGAAATGACGAGGGGATTTGGCCGATACTTAGATTAAAGGTAAGACGGACATAAGACGGACATATAATCAAACTGCTACTATCGCTATTGGTATTGGAAAGCTGCGTTGGCTGCTGAAATTGGAGACGGGGGCGCTTTTGGGAATGCCCTGAGTGCTATTGTGTCGGTTCTTGAATCGACTCGACGTTTCTCAGCAGGTGTGAAGCTCCAGTTCCAGTACCACTAATGCACACAGCACCTGTTTCTGGTCGTGGAGAGGGACAGAAGAGATCTGCAGTTATGTGCTGTGACGATGCAGCGCACGTACTGAGTTAGAAATAAATTATAGATGTGATGTTTTTGAACAAAGAAGATACAAACAGTTGATTGCACAATTTATTGGCAGGCATATTTTGCTGTATCTCTCTAGGTGCATACCACAGTAATAATTGATTAAAATGAAGCAAAAAACAGAATTCTTCTAGCTTTAAAAAAAAATCAACTGAATCTAAAAGCTCTGTTTCACCTGGGTAAGCACAAGGAGTCATTGACACATTGAGTCTGTGTAACATCACGGCATATCAACGCGACCAAGCGCTCTGGCTTGGCTGCCGATCGTCTGATGAACTGAGACGCCTAGCGGCTTAAGCAGATGTTAACGAAAGAAGGAAAAACGCAAGTTGAAGAGCATGTCCTTTTGTCTGCCTAATTCTGGACTAAACCGTGTTCAAATTGAACTTACCGGCTGCGTCGTTTCAAATATCGGATTTGCAATCTGTACATTATTAGTTAACACAATGCATCGAAGGAGCCCATCTTCCTTCCTATGTTTTATGTATCTGAGATTGTGAAAGCGAACACACATACGAACACAAGCACACAGAGAGATAGTGAGTGAGAGAGTGAACATATAAGCTGTGACGATGAGCGTAGGCTTTCATCTTTCACCATCTGACACGATCACCAAAATCACAGTAAAGGTCGGTGTTCTTGTCTCGACCCATCGACATGACTAAGCCATCTAGTGTTTTTTCTCTTTACCTCTGTCATGCTCATTTTCCACCAGTCTTGTCAGTGACAAAAATGCGCACTGGAAACTGTGAGCTCAACTACTTGACCGACCCTGACCCAGTTGTTTCCATTTTTAGTCTTCACTATGCCCACCCACCCACCCACCCACCCACCCACCCGCCCACCCACCCACAAATTAAATATGTAAAAAAAGTGGGGGCGGAAAGGGGAGGGGTGTTAAGTGGCCCCCTTTATCCAAATATGGACGTTATTTTTAAAAGATGTCTCCCCCCCCCCCCCCCATACATTTTATATAATTTCAAATACAAATTTTTTTCTATTTAGCACATCATTTTTATGATTATCTCAAATTAGGATTAAGCTGCTCCAGATCTGCCTCTCTCTCTTTCTCTCTTTCTCTCTTTCTCTCCCGCTGTCTTTCTTTCTCTGTGTATGTGCATGTGTGTGTGTGTGGGTGTGTGTGTGTGTGTGCAAGATTCATGGTTCCATATAATGTAAACCCAATGGATGATTTGGTCAACATCACGAGGGTTGTCTTTACTTCTCCGGAATTGCCTGTTGGGCGTTTTGGGCTGGGTTGACCTGGCAGCCAAGGTCAGTTCTTTAGATATTGATCAAGTATTTAATGTCTTTATTCATGCGTGTCAATAGTTTTCTATGTTATGTCGCATATATCTGATTTTATTTCTACCCTTGTGCGCGTGTGTGTGCGTGCATGTGTGTGTGTGCACGCGCGCATGCATGCCTTCGTGCGGGTGTCGTGTATGTGTGTTTAGCATTCCTAACATCGTTTTTAACAGATGGGTTTTCCTATCACGACATAATCAAATTGCTGTCTGCTTCTTTCTCCAGAGTCTTTGTCCAAATGCAATCTTATAAATTCGTGCTGGGGAAATTATGTTGTAGATAAAGACATCATGCTCTCCGGCATGTGTTCTTAGTTTTGGGAACTGAGCGGATATAATGAACAGACAGAAAGACAAATGAAGCAGCTCTCCAAGAAACAGGTGTAAACTGTAAACTTATTTAGAGAATGTAAAAGCACACAGCCTATAGTTTTGGGCACGAGAAGAAAAACGGCTGCTTTCTTAATATCCTACCTCAAACAGGGGAAAATCACAGGTCAGGGGACAGTCAAATATTTCAGGTTGTAGTTTATAGGTTAAATGGACTGGTGGGGCCTAGGCTGCATGCAGTCGTAGGACCTAGGCTGCACTCTCCCGTGGGACATAGGTGGGTTGGGGTTAGGGCCAGTTTTAGATGATTTGGGGTCGTTAAAAGCATCAAAAAGCCGGGAAACCCAGTTTTACCACCCTTAAAAATGTTGGACTGTCCTGTGACGTAATCTGGGGTAGGATATTAGGAAAGAACAGAAAAAAACTCTTTCGTCGCCAGGAAACACATCATCATCATCGTCATCATAATTAACTAAGTCTGCATGTCGTTGGGTCACCAGTTGAAGTTTCTGTTTGATCAGCGTCGCCCACCTTTGACGGTCAGATGCTACAGACTTCATGATTGCATGCATAAGGCCTGCGCTGTTCTTCACGTTCTGTACCCAGATCATTCTTTGTCTGCCTCTTCTCCTCTTCCCGTCTACTCAGCCCTGTAGTGTTGTTTTTTGAAAGGACGTTAGATTTTATGACATGTCCGCACCATTGTATTTTCATCTTTTCACTGTAGTTAAAAGAGGCCCATAGTTGCCAATGTGAAGGGTAGTTATTCGTCGAACCTCGTCATTTGTGATGTGGTCCATGAATGATATACCAAGAATGTTTATGAAAGATCTCATTTCCAATGCTTGCATTTTTTTTGGGATTCCTTTATAAAAGCATTTGAAAACTCCTTCTCTTTCATTTTCTGCCACATTAGCCCTTTGAAACCCAAATTTTACTTTTAAGCTTGCTGTGTCGTAGTTAAGTTCAGCTCAATACTATTCAAAGATTGCAGGCTTCTGTTATGAACACACTGTGAGACAGAAAGTATTGTATCAACAACTCCAAGGGACTGATACAGTTAAAAACACAGTTAAAACTGGAAAATAAATTTAAAAAGATCAAGAACCGACAAAAAGGCAAATGTCTAAATGTCTTGACTACAGCGTTTAAGGGGACAGAGCACATAATCTGGTGATCGTGTGATCACTAACTGTCTACGTTTACATGCATTTCCTTTAATGCTGACTGTTGTTAGACCCTCTCGGGCGTTGAAACCACTTAACCCCCAAAGATGGTAGTGATCAACTGGTGTATGTACAACGATGACTGATCAGTCCGAATTTAGCTTAGAAAAATCTTTAGTAGCTGGGAAGAGAGATGGAAGCAACAGCAAAGAAAGACTGGCGACGCGGTTTTTTTTTTCTAGACTGCCTTTGTTTTTTTCTGCCACTGAAACCTGCTGCCCAGCAGGCTGGGACACGGCTGTGTGCCATTCAGATCCCACATGTTCAATTTTCTCCTATGATACATTCAATAATATGTACCGACAGGCAGAAACCTGACGTTTTTTGACGTAGGTAGGGCCAAGTTTAAATTTTTTTAGTTACCCGACTGCACTTCTTCTATAGAATTTTAGAAATATTCAATAAGACGGGTATTTCTTCTATGTAAATATGAACAGTGGGTGTCTCTACAGGAAGCCAGGGATTACCCGAATTTGTATTTTCCATACGCCGTGCTGCTTCACTGCTTTCTTTAGTAAATGCCAGATAAGGCTACGGTGTTTGTGCTGTCTTCTTTGTCGTTTCCCTAACACGCACTGTCTATGAAAAGACACAGGTTGTTGTTTGGCTTCACACGCCGTCGATCTGCACCAAATGTACCGTCTTGTTCATGCTTCTAGTATTTGTGTAAGGGGTATGGCCATTTCTTTTTAGAAATGCTCTTGCATCACTCATGAAGTAGCCAAGGCTGTTGCTTGTGATGGGGTCATGTTGTTATATCACCGACTTTCATAGAGCAGTACGCGAGCTAGGGTGAAGAAACGGGTACCAAACAGTGGTAAAAAAAAACCTCTTCGCGCAAGTCGTGTATAGAACACATAACATTGCTAGATTTTTTTTTTTTTTCATTTTTTTTTCCAGACCAATAAATCACTCGATTTGTGATGTGATAAAAATCGAGTCAGCCGATTTTACTTCACATAACCTTTTCTATTATCCTGTTAAGCCGAGTCGATTTGGAAGCCAAAATCAATTATCGGTTAGGCAAATTTACGTCCAGTATTTAAGATCAATTATACAATTTTAAATATAAGGTTATCTATGCATATTCGAGTCGGCTCTGTGGCTAAGTCGATGCGAACTCCTCGGAATGCCGGAATGCCTAGTTCGATACCAACTGCGGCTCATGCGCCTTACGTTGGTTTCAACAGTGGTATCAAGAAAGCCGACCGTCCAGTAAGCAATGGCAAACAACTGGATGTAAATTTTCCTAGAAAAACCACACAACAGCCAGGGGTTGTTGGGGTTGGTTCTGCAACGTCCTGTAAAGGATAAACAACTAACCATGCGGATTCGAATATGCCACCTCCTGCCAGATAAGCAAGAGTCTATCCACTGCCCTAAAACAGGACCTTTGGGTCCAAATAAAGTCTCGGATTATCTTTTAGAATATGAACGGTACTCACCGTAAAGTTCTTCGGTCATGTACCCGAGTCATAATATAACAATTATCTACAATCTTGCAATA